CTTCCCCTGCCCATCTTTTGAGCACTTTCCTTTTTTTACATGTCTTATTTTCCTGGTTTTATCATCTTAATCACAGTCACAACATCACAAAGGAAAACAGAAATGAACAGAATTTGAACTAAATGTGAAGTATATGTAAAATAAAACATGAGAAAATTAAAATTCGACTGTTGTGAGAATATTTCTATTTTTATCTTCTGAATTCAATTCCGTTCCCAGAAAAAAAAAAAAAAGTGAAAAACCAAAACTAAAATTATGTTTGTTATGGTATGTTTCTACTTCAAATTCAATATTGCAAACTCAATATTTCTAATTTGGTTTGAGCTAAGCGTAGAATAGAAGGGAAGGGGGCATCATGAGGTAAACTCTTTTCCTTTTACAGAATGAATCTGATGGTATAAGGATGGGAAATACCAAGCACCAAGCACTTGCTAGTATTTTAATCTTGCTTTTTCCTTTACAGTGACTTTAAACACTAAACAAGAAAATCTGAAGAGGAAAGGTTTCTCAAATACTCTTATTTTTCCAGGTATTTTTGGACAGAAACTGGAAGACACGGTGCGCTACGAGAAGAGATATGGGAACCGCCTGGCCCCGATGTTGGTGGAACAATGTGTGGACTTCATCCGGCAGAGGGGACTGAAGGAAGAGGGTCTCTTCCGGCTGCCAGGCCAGGCTAATCTGGTCAAGGAGCTGCAGGATGCCTTCGACTGTGGGGAGAAGCCGTCATTCGACAGGTACGTGTCCAGGTCCTCCTCACCTTCCTGCACTGGAAAAGCTACACTGAACTGAAAAGATGCAGTGAGAGGAAATGCACAACTCTGATTTGTGTGGTCACAGGTTAGAACATGGATTATTAGGCCACACAAGTCTGGATTATTGTAATGAAGCTACAGAGTAAAAACATTTGGTACTTTACATGTCCTCTCTTCATTGTTCTCTCTCTCTCTCTCTCTCTCTCTCTCTCTCTCTCTCTCTTTCTGTCTCTCCTTCTCCTTCTTTTTCTCACCCCCGCAGCTCGAATCCAGAGCCTTTGCAGTGAACTATATCCTCATTCCTTCTTTTAAAAAATGTTTAATTTTGAGACAGAGTTTCACTAAGTCGTCCAGGCTGGGCTCAAATTTACAATCCTCCTGCCTCAGCCACACAGAGTTCTGAGATTTCACAGTGCCCAGCCCTTTTTCTCTACCTTAAAACATGGTAGCTTGTTCTTTTCATCTGATCCTAGCCATCCTGAAGGTTTGGGTATAAAACAACAGCTTTTTCAGAGTCTGCTTTTGGACAGTTCCCCACAGAGACAATCTCTATCCATGTGGTGCTGGTTGCCACATCCAAGCCTGTTTCCCTCCCAATTCTGGCTCCTAAGATGAGCCGTCCAGAGTGTCTCATGGCTGGCTGGGCCTCTCTCCTTCTCTTTGCAGTCTTACATCTTTTAGAGCTTTAACCTTTAGCAGATTCTTGGAACTTGTTTTGAGGTGGCCTAGGATTCAAAGATAGCAACAATAGAAGCCACGAGACCCATTAAAACTTGGCTTCGATAGGTGGAGTATCACATTCACTGAACACTATCAGTCAAAGGCAAATCACAAGGCCATCTTAAATTAGAAGAGACAGAAAATCAACTTTGCTTTTTATAGTAGTAACATGGGTGTATAGAGGTTTGGTTGAAAACAACAACTTTACAAACCGCAATTTCTGTGGAGATTATCCATAGCCATCTTTGGAAATAATCTACTTCATTCATTCATTCATTCAACAAATAACTGAAGTGTGTTTCATATGCTTCATACAGTGGTCTAGGTGAAAGGAGATGAGGCCCATTCTCTTCCAGGGTTTGCATGCTGAGTAGTGGGTAGGTAGCCAGTGAGCAGTGAATATATAAATAATAAAAATAATTTCAGGGTGTAGAGGGGTGATATACTAACATGTCCTGATTGCAGGGGTGGAGACACTCACCTCCCTCCTGAGGACATAAACTTTGGCTTTAGATTTGAGTGACAAGAAGCCTGCCCTCGCCATGAGTGGGGACCTAGTCCAACGGAGAGCAGAGAGGGCCCAACCTGGACACACGCACCGACCCATGGGTTATAGATCATGAGACAAGCAAAGGCTGGATGTTTTCTGCTGAGGGGAGCTGGAGAAGGTACATTCTGTAGGCCCAGTAATTATGATAAGAAATTTGTTCTTGGGCCAGGGATTTAGCTCAGTGGTTCCACCACCTGCCTTGCAAGCACAGGGACCCGAGTTCAATCCCCAGCACCAAAAAAAAAAAAAAAAATTTGTTCTTATTCTCCGTGAAATAGACACATTCAGATTCTTAGTGAGTAAATAGAATACCACTCTGGCAACCTTAATGTCCCCCTTTTGATAACTACATTGCCAAGCTTCAGTCTCTAGATCTCAGGAAGGCAGATAAGCAACTCCCTGGATTCTTCTGATTAAAAAAAAAAAAGAGAGAGAGAGAGAAGATTCCCAGATCCAAGAACTGTGAGGGCTAAAGGAAAAGGATAACGTATAGTGTTTGTGGCAAAATGTAATTATGACTGAGATGAATAGGGGAATGGAAAACCCATATTTTCCCAGGGATTGATGAAACCTGTTACATTCAGAAACTTGTCCAAGTACAGTGTCTTCCCAATCCATTTTTTACTTAATTGATTGACATTGCTTTTTCACATATTTGAATTTAAAGAGCTTGCAAGCACTAATCAGGTTTCAGTCTTCAGGAGGGAGAGAGAAACTGACCAAAATTAGCGTGGCCAACATTCACATCACGATGATATGTGTGCACACTTGTGTGTGTGTGAGTGCATGTGTGTGTGTGTTTAGAAACAGATTCTGAATTGTACTCTGACTAGATATGAGAATAAAAAGAAAGCTACAGAACTTTTTAAATTGTGAAATCTATTAATGAGAATAAATAAAGTCTTTTCTTTGTTTATTCTTCTCACACTTGTTCTCAGAAAGAATAGACAGGATTTATCTTTCATCTTCATTTGTTAAAATATGTTTATTAAAATCTGGAAAGATGTCCCTACAGTTCTTCAAAATTAATCTCTAGGCACTGATGTCAAAGCTCTAATAGTAAGACCTGAAATATGGCTTTTAAAAATGGACTTTTTCAAATAATGTTTTAAAAATATTTAAATTTTAACAGTCTTGGGTATTTTAAATTTTTTATTTAAATATTAAATTTATATTTTAATGTATGACATTTTGTATACAACTTAGAATATAAAGGACATAAAAAAGATTAACACTTCAAAATTCTACAACCCTGTAGCTCTGGCTATAGATAGCATGCAAGCAAGTATAGTAAAATGGACATATAAATATTTCAAACCATGCATATGTCTTTATAAAAAGTATTTGAATCAGACAACTTTTGTACTTTGCCTTTTCTCCTTAATAGTAAGCATGAGTACTTTCCCAAGTCACTGAGTAGTCGTCACAAAGGTGATCACAAGGACTGCAGGGTAATTCATCGCATCGGTACTTTCACTTAATTCTGCTTCTGTTGTTCTTGACATTTTACACACAGCAGCCCTCTGCTGAAGAGATCCATCTGTGTCCATCTGTGCTTTTGAAGCTATGAGTCCGTTTGTGGTTTGGAAAATAATCGTTCATGTTTGAATGAGGAGTATTTTGTCCTACCGGGGGAGAAAAGTGGCATTTTTAAAAAAAAAAAGATGTTTGGAGCAGATATTTGAATTCACAAGGATTACAAGTGCATGCACCACCTTTTGTCAAAAGCCACTTTTCCAGTTCTAAGGTTCAAGTTTGAGATACGGTTGCTACAGTTGTGGCACGCATCCACAGACTCCAGACTGAAATGCCTGCTGTAGGAAAGGGCATTCTCACTGATCTGAAAGAATTTGTGTTTATCTGTTCCTGTCAATTGTTAAAAACAAAACAAACAAAATGCACATATCATATTTCTTTATATTATCATTATTATCATTATCATCTCATTATTCTTTATATTTGGGGATGAAAGCAGATTGAGACATCGCATTTCATATTAAACGTTCTCACTTCCGAGGTGACAACAATGAAATACGGGCCCTGTAAAACCAAAGAGGAACTGTGTGCTGTGTTGTTGCCAAGCTCTCCAGATGCTACCAGCTGTTGGGGGAGACACATTCTGGAAGTGAAGGGGGGTCAGGCCAACAGTGGCACTGTGTGTGTGTCCCCATCAGAGCATTAACTGCTCAGCAACAGCATAGCTCTGCACTCAAACACAGCTCGGGAGCAAAGACAGAGGCTGCACCAGGCCCAGGATTTCCCCCATTCTTTCGTGAATTCTGTGAGGCACCTGCTGGCCACAGTACTCATTGCCCACCCCAGCCCTGCTTGCCATTCTCTCCTCCCTCCTGCCTCTTTTCTTGTTTTTTCATTTATTCTTTGGTTTGGCAACTAAACACACAAAAAGGAAAAAAGGGGGAAAAAAAAGAAAAACAATAACAGCTCTTAAAAATGTAGAAATCAGAAAAGCCAGACATGTTTTACTTTAACCCTCTGCGAAGCAATGTAGTTATGGGCTTTACTGATCTGTGTTATAAAAAGTGGCCTTCCTAGTGGGGACTCTCAAATATTACCTTGCCTGAGAATAACTCAGAGGAATATCTTGAGATTCATTTGTTCTGGCCCCATTTGCTCATGTTCTAGTTGAAACGGTTGGGGAATGCCTAGGAATCTGCATTTTGAGCAAATCTTTAGATGTTTTGCTTTTATATTCATGATGTTAAAATCATAACTTTGGAAATATTAGCTGGATCATAGACGGCAGGAATATAAGGGAAAGGGATGTCATTCGTTAACAGTTATGTCCTAAGAGAGAGGAGAATCAGCCTCACAGATTTATCGGGAGTAACAAAGTACTTTTGACTAGTGAGGTAGGTCTTATGCTACTGTGAAAGATGAGTTATTTTCTGAAGTTCAGAATTGATGCATAAAATATATGTTTCCATTTGCCAAAAAGAGCCTGAAATTTTAGGACAGCCTGAGAGACATATCTTTCCACCTTTATGCTTTGATCCTTATGGAAACTCAAACACTGCTGAGGTCAGCAGCTAACTACGCCATTACAAAGCCTTGGTCTCCTACTGTGAATAGATCTAAGGAGAGGATTTTATGGAAGACAGTAGAGAATGTAAGTGGTTCCTTGAGAGCTTGTGGGTAAGTAAAAGGATGAACTTGCATCACTAAAGCAATGGAGAACCAACAAGCAGACTCCTAGTAGTTAGCCTCAGGCAAGCCTCAAAGGGTAGAGGATGAACCCCTACTTGTTTCCAGCACCCTGTGTGATTCTTGGAAGTCCAAAGAGAGGCCAGCCCTCCAAAGTCCTGAACAACAGTTCAGTTCTGGTAACTCTTTAACTTTCCTATTTTTATGCAGATTTTAAACAATGGTGTAACAAGAGTTGACAACCATTGTCTGAGTATTTCTCATATTCCTGGCATTCATATTCTACCGGCATGATTTTAGCCATATCTATGTAATATTTTTACTAGGTTTGCTGATCTTTTTCCTTAGATGTGTTCACTGTTTACCAGTTTTGTTGTATAGAGAAATTTGCATTGTCATTTTCAGTCAAAAACTAGTGCCGCTTCATAAATATAAGGTCAATAGAGCACAGATGAAATGACAACCAAAGCCTGTCACCGAACACCCACAGGTCCCGCTGCTTCCCAAGCCACTCACCCTAAGGCTGTCAGTTTATCTGATGAAAATGAAG